TTCGGTTTAGGTTTAGGATTTAGGCTTAGGGTTTATAGATATAGGAGTTTAGGTTTAGGGTTTGGGTTTCGGATTTAGGCTTAGGATTTTAGGTTTAGGATTTAGGTTTATAGTTTTTAGGTTTAGGATTCAGGACACATTTTGGCTCAAATGTAAAGAAGTTCCCATTTGGAGCTCCAAAAGCGGCATTTTCTGAAACGGAGAGAGTTCGCCATTTGGAGCTCGAAAAGGAACATTTTGGGCCTGGCCTGGAAATTGACGGGCACTGAACGAGCACTAGAGAGTTCGCCATTTGGAGCTCCAAAAGGAACATGTTGGGCCTGGCCTGGAAATTGACGGGCACTAAACGAGCACTAGACGAGCACTAGACAAGCACTAGTGCTTGTCTAGTGCTCATCTGGTGCTCGTCTAGCGCTCGTCTAGTGCTCCATCTAGTGCTCGTCTAGTGCTCCGTCCAGCGCCCGTCTAGTGCTCCGTCCAGCGCCTGTCTAGTGCTCTTCTATCCCCGGAAATTTCCGGGGTTGTGCCCTCCCTAGAGCCTTCTGGCGCTCGTCCAGTGCTCGTCCAGTGCTCGTCTAATGCTCGTCTAGTGCTCCTCTAGCGCTCGTCTAGCGCGTCTGTGCTCGTCTAGTGCCCGTGTAGTGCTCGTCTAGCCCGTCTAGTGCTCGTCTAGTGCCCGTCTAGCGCTCTAGTGCCCGTCTAGTGCTCGTCTAGTGCCCGTCTAGTGCTCGTCTAGTGCCGTCTAGTGCTCGTCTAGTGCCCGTCTAGTGCTCGTCTAGTGCCCGTCTAGCGCTCGTCTAGTGCCCGTCTAGTGCTCGTCTAGTGCCCGTCTAGTGCTCGTCTAGTGCCCGTCTAGTGCTCGTCTAGTGCCCGTCTAGCGCTCGTCTAGCGCCCGTCTAGCGCTCGTCTAGTGCCCGTCTAGTGCTCGTCTAGTGCCCGTCTAGTGCTCGTCTAGCGCCCGTCTAGTGATCGTCTAGTGCCCGTCTAGTGCTCGTCCAGTGCCCGTCCAGTGCTCGTCTAGTGCTCGTCTAGTGCTCGTCTAATGCTCGGCCCCGTCTAGTGCTCGTCTAGTGCTCGTCTAGTGCTCGCCTACTGGCGCTCGTCTAGTGCCCGTCTAGTGCTCGCCTAGTGCCCGTCTAGTGCTCGTCTAGCGCTCGTCTAGTGCTCTGTCTAGTGTCTAGTTCTCGTCTAGCGCTCGTCCAGCGCTCGTCTAGTTCCCGTCTAGCGCTCGTCTAGCGCCCGTCTGGCGCTCGTCTGTGCCCGTCTAGCGCTCGTCTCGTGCCCGTCTAGCGCTCGTCTAGCGCGCGTCTCGTGCTCGTCTAGTGCCCGTCTAGTGCTCGTCTAGTGCCCGTCTGGTGCTCGTCTAGTGCCCGTCTAGTGCTCGTCTAGTGTGCCGTCTAGTCTAGTGCTCGTCTTGTGCTCGTCTAGTGCCCGTCTAGTGCTCGTCTAGTGCTCGTCTAGTGCTCGTCTAGCCCGTCTAGTGCTCGTCTAGTGCTCGTCTAGTGCTCGTCTAGTGCCCGTCTAGTGCTTGTCCAATGCCCGTCTAGCGCTCGTCTAGTGCCCTAGTGCTCGTCTAGTGCCCGTCTAGTGCTCGTCTAGTGCCCGTCTAGTGCTCGTCCAGCGCTCGTCCAGTGCTCTGTTTAGTGTCTCGTTCTCGTCTAGTGCCCGTCTGGTGCCCGTCTAGCGCTCGTCTAGTGCTCGTCCAGGAGATCCAAAAGGAACATTTTGGGCCTGGCCTGGAAATTGACGGGCACTAAACGAGCACTAGACAAGCACTAGTGCTTGTCTAGTGCTCGTCTGGTGCTCGTCTAGCGCTCGTCTAGTGCTCTAGTGCTCGTCTAGCGCTCCGTCCAGCGCCCGTCTAGTGCTCTTCTATCCAGAGCCTTCTGGCGCTCGTCCAGTGCTCGTCCAGTGCTCGTCTAGTGCTCGTCTAGTGCTTCCCTAGCGCTCGTCTAGCGCCCGTCTCGTGCCCGTCTAGTGCTCGTCTAGTGCCCGTCTAGCGCTCGTCTGGTGCCCGTCTAGCGCTTGTCTAGTGCCCGTCTAGTGCTCGTCTAGTGCCCGTCTAGTGCTCGTCTAGTGCCCGTCTGGTTTAGGATTTAGTCTAGGATTTAGGCTTAGGGTTTTTAGGTTTAGGATTTAGGTTTAGGGTTGGCGCCTTTTAGTGTTCCTGCTGGCGGGATTCCTTTTAGGGTTCCTGCTGGGGGGATGTCTTTCCGGGTTCCTGCTGGCGGGGCGCCGTTTAGGGTTATTGCTGGCGGGTCTTTTAAGGGTTCCTGCTGGCGGGGTGCCTTTGAGAGGCCACGGATTTAGGTCTAGGATTTAGGTTCAGGATTTAGGTTCGGTTTAGGTTTAGGATTTAGGCTTAGGGTTTTTAGATATAGGAGTTTAGGTTTAGGGTTTAGGTTTCGGATTTAGGCTTAGGATTTTAGGTTTAGGATTTAGGTTTATAGTTTTTAGGTTTAGGATTCAGGACACATTTTGGCTCAAATGTAGAGAAGTTCCCATTTGGTGCTCCAACAGCGACATTTTGGAAAATGGCAAGAGTGTATATCAAAAATGAAAAGAATTTGTGATTTGGAGCTCCAAAAGCGACATTTTGCAGCTGGCCCTGGAAATGACCGTTCTTTACTAGAGTTTATATAAAAATAACACATTTTGCTGAAACGGAGAGAGTTGACCATTTGAAGCTCCAAAAGGAACATTTTGGGCCTGGCCTGGAAATTGACGGGCACTAAACGAGCACTAGACAAGCACTAGTGCTTGTCTAGTGCTCGTCTAATTCTCGTCTAGCGCTCGTCTAGTGCTTGTCTAGTGCTCGTCTAGCGCTCCGTCCAGCGCCCGTCTAGTGCTCTTCTATCCCCGAATTTTTTCGGGGCTGTCCTCCTAGAGCGTCTTGTCTAGTGCTTGTCTAGTGCTCGTCTGGCGCTCGTCTAGCGCTCGTCTAGCGCTCGTCTAGTGCTCCATCTAGTGCTCGTCTAGTGCTCCGTCCAGCGCCCGTCTAGTGCTCTTCTATCCCCGGAAATTTTCCGGAAATTTCCGGGGTTGCGCCCTCCCTAGAGCCTTCTGGCGCTCGTCCAGTGCTCGTCTAGTGCTCGTCTAGCGCCCGTCCAATGCTCGTCTGTGCTCGTCTGGTGCCCGTCCAGTGCTCGTCTAGTGCCGTCTAGTGCTCGTCTAGTGCTCGTCTAGCGCGTCTAGTGCCCGTCTAGCGCTCGTCTAGCGCTCGTCTAGTGCTCGTCTAGCGCTCTGTCTAGTGTCTAGTTCTCGTCTAGTGCTCGTCCAGCGCTGTCTAGTTCCCGTCTAGTGCTCGTCTAGCGCCCGTCTGGTGCTCGTCTGTGCCCGTCTAGCGCTCGTCTAGTGCCCGTCTAGTGCTCGTCTAGTGCCCGTCTAGTGCTCGTCTAGTGGTGCTCGTCTAGTGCTCGTCTAGTGCTCGTCTACCGCTCGTCCCCGTCTAGTGCTCGTCTAGCGCTCGTCTAGTGCCCGTCTAGCGCTCGTCTAATGCCCGTCTAGTGCTCGTCTAGTGCTCGTCTAGTGCTCGTCTAGTGCTCGTCTAGCCCGTCTAGTGTTCGTTTAGTGCTCGTCTAGTGCTCGTCTAGTGCTCGTCTAGTGCCCGTCTAGCGCTCGTCTAGTGCCCTAGTGCTCGTCTAGTGCCCGTCTAGCGCTCGTCTAGTGCCCGTCTAGTGCTCGTCTAGTGCTCGTCTAGTGCTCTGTGTAGTGTCTCGTTCTCGTCTAGTGCTCGTCTAGTGCCCGTCTGGTGCTCGTCTAGTGCTCGTCTAGTGCTCGTCTAGTGCCCGTCTAGTGCTCGTCTAGTGCTCGTCTAGCGCTCTGTCTAGTGTCTAGTTCTCGTCTAGTGCTCGTCCAGTGCTCGTCTAGTTCCGTCTAGTGCTCGTCTAGGCCCGTCTGGGTGCTCGTCTGTGCCCGTCTAGCGCTCGTCTAGTGCCCGTCTAATGCCCGTCTAGTGCTCGTCTGGTGCCCGTCTAGTGCTCGTCCAGTGCTCGTCCAGTGCTCGCCTAGTGCCCGTAGTGCCCGTATAGTGCTCGTCTAGTGCTCGTCTAGTGCTCTTGTCTAGTGCTCTCGTCTAGTGCTCGTCTAGTGCTCGTCTCTAGTGCTCTAGTGCTCTCTAGTCTAGTGCTCGTCTGTCTAGTCGTCTGTGCTAGTCTAGTGCTCGGTCTAGTGCTCGTCTAGTGCTCGTCTAGTGCTCGTCTAGTGCTCGTCGTCTAGTGCTCCGTCTAGTGCTCGTCTAGCGCTCGTCTAGTGCCCGTCTAGTGCTCGTCTAGTGCTCGTCTAGTGCTCGTCTAGTGCCCGTCTAGTGCTCGTCTAGTGCCCGTCTAGTGCTCGTCTAGTGCCCGTCTAGTGCCGTCTATCTAGTGCCCGTCTAGTGTTTGTCTAGTGCCCGTCTAGTGCCCGTCTAGTGCCCGTCTAGTGCTCGTCTAGTGCTCGTCTAGTGCTCGTCTAGTGCCCGTCTCGTGCTCGTCTAGCGCCCGTCTAGTGCTCGTCTAGTGCCCGTCTAGTGGTCTAGTGCTCGTCTAGCGCTCGTCTAGTGCCCGTCTAGTGCTCGTCTAGTGCCCGCTGGGAAGCGGCTTCGGCACTGAAAGCAGAAAAAGCAACCAAAACGGCGCCAAAACAGAAAAAGCAACCGCCTACCTACTTATGCCCTTTACCAGAGTAGACCTCCCTCCACAGCTCAAAAGACAACGCCATCAACCGCCGCAAGCTGTCACGTCAGATTTTCTCAGATTGGCACACTGGCCCTTTGCAGAGAGCTCCCATTACGTTACCGCCGTGTTTGAGCATACTGTATCCTGCACCACCGGAAGAAACCTTGGGTTGGTGATTCTCCTGATGCAAAAGCAAACAATGGTGTCCCATGGCTTCGAAGTGGTGATTTCGAGGTTTCGCGGATTTTGCAACCATCCACAGTATCTCCAGGGCCTTTTCTGCGGGATTCTCAGGAGTCGGAAATCAAAAATTGTGCGGAACTCGAGGTCAAATCGGCCGAGTCGCCAAAGCCCGCTGCAGCTTCCGCAGCTGGTGGTCCGCAGCCCAGCGCAGGTTCTTCAGAGCGCTGAGACCTCCGCCCGAAGGCCCCGGCGGAAATCGATCCGCGCGGTTAGAGCCGCTGATTCCCCGAGGAACACGGACCCCCTTGGAAAATTCAGAGTGGTGCACTCAGCTTGCTTGGTGTGGATTGGTCAGTGCTTTGGAGGTGGGTTGTCTACCTTGTTGGGACCTAAACTAAAAAGTGGGAACCGAAAAAAGGAGGCAAATGAGAGGCAATTTGAGGATTTACTTTGGACAAGTACCCCGCAAAACGAAGTTCTATTGCAATTGGCAAACAAGATATTCTGTCTGTGGGTTATAAAAGTGGCCCCTGAGAATTTCATACCAATGCATTGGCCGAAAGTTCAATAGGACCTGCGACCCCTACCAGTTCAAGTAAACGAGTGTTAAAACACCATGGCAATAGCAGAAATGGGTATGAGTCGTAGGTTGCATACCTTGGGGGTAAAAGCCGATCGAAGGTCAAGCCACGACTGAGGTACCATAGATCGGCTTTGGGGTCTGGTCGGCGGGGCGTGGGGGAGGGTTGTGGGGGAAATCTTTGGGTGACGGGAGCGATAGGTCTCTATCTACCTATGAATAAATGCATACATATATATATATAAATACACATTCATACTGCGAAACTGTTTGCAGTTTGATGGTGTATGGTACATATGTCTAATGGGCCATGTGGTGAACATCATTTAAGCACTGGGGTCCATTTCCACCGACTGGATTTGCGCAACATAGGGCAGCCCCCCCCCAAAAAAAAAAACCAGAGAGGCTCATTTGTCCCGTGGTCTCCCTTTCAGCCCACCCCCAAAAGGGCGCCCTCGATCAAACACAAGCACAGACTCACTCCGCATCGCATCGCCTTGGAGCGTTTGCTCCCGCAGCTTGGTGGGCACAGAGGGGTCGAAGCTGGCCAGGGCCAGGTTGGAGGCATCGCACCTCAGGCATGTAATGATATGGTTGGCCTCTTGGCTTGGTCGTATCTATATATATATATATATGTATATACATCTATGTATATATTGGTGGTACATCATATACCAGTTGTATATGTGTGATGTATAATTTTGAGACATGGAGATAAGCCACGTGTGCAAAGCATTTTCTTCTGCCTCCCGGCCTCATTTTGTATATTGGTGGCACCTAGGCCAAAGAATGCGACTGAACCAGGGGTCGTTTCTCATTTGGGTATGTGTCTAAAAAAGGGTCCCTCAATGGGGGTCTTGCTTTGGAGGCACCCCCTTTGCCTGTTTGAAAGGGGTTCCAAAAGGAAACTCCACGTTAGTCTGAGCGAAGTCCTTCTGCAAAGCCACTACAAAGGGCACCCCTTGTGTGATCCAAAGGAATAACTAAGGATTGCCTGTAGTGAGCCCAGCTCACAAATAAGCAGACAGACGTATTGGCGGGCATGACCCTCACGTAGGGTTTCAAACTAAACTCATGCCCGCATTCAACAACAGCCGATGGCCTATTTGCGTAGGTACGATGGGGTAGAGCGGTAGCTTCGGCATGCGCGCCGTGCATCTGGTCAGATTAAAAAAAAAAACTCGGAGGAAACAAACAGAGATCTCCAAGCTTGGGTTTGTGTCCAAATCCCAAAAATGCTTGGATTCCTTTTGGTTTCCCTTTCACAAAACCTGGAAAGTGTGGACACATTTCCTTTGGCTTCCCTTTGAATCCAACTCAAAAACTGGCTGGTTCTCAGCCAAAAACCTACTCCCCCCCCCCCGCTGCCTCCCCCCCCCAAAAAAAAGGGAGGTTTGTTTCCTTTTGGTTCCGCTACCTGAACAAAAACACGCCGCCGCTTTCGGCACGACTCATCGCAGCCACCTGTTGGAGATCTTCAGCGCGGAGCGCAGCAACTCGCTGCCCGCCGCTGCGGAGGGCGCGGGGAGGCTGCGGGCGAGGGCCAGCAGCTGGGCGGCGGTGATCACGGCCTGCCTGGTGAGGCTCACCAGTTGGGTCTCGAACCTGCGAGGCGATCTGCCGAAGGGGTTGGGGTTGGGGGGGTTGGGGGGCTTGGAGGAGTTGAGGAGGGTTGGGGGGGTTGGGGGGGTTGGGGGGGTTGGGGGGGTTGGGGGGTTGGGGGGTTGAGGGGGTTGAGGGGGTTGAGGGGGTTGAGGGGGGGAGGGTTCGGGGATTGAAAAGCTTCGGGGTGGTCTCGAACCTGAAGCGAGGCGATCTGCATGGGGTTGGGGGGGTTGACGGGGGTTGGGAGCGAAGGTTCGGGGAGTTTGCCATGCATTACTCGCACATGACTACGTGCCATATGTTCTCAGCATTTTTATGTCCAGGAGTTACATAGGACTTCATTGCACCGTGTTTTGTAATATTGATGCCGCCAACTTGCATCTGGGGGTGCGGCGGACGAAATCCAATGTTTGGAAAGCGGAATCGAACACCCTAAGGATTTAATCTATGGAAAGGGAATGTCTTGGAATCGCCGCGTGTTGGTAGGTGGTTTGTCCCAGTCATACATTTGGCCAAGGGGTATGTAAAACTCTGGGTGGGGGTGTCCTGGTGGACGAAATCTTCAGTTCGCATCAGTTGGTCCCAGTCATAGGGTTTCATTCATCATAATCCATCCCAACCAGTGCAAGGTTTTGTCCATCCACAGGTATGGGGGGGGGGCTTTGTTCGCGCTTGAAGGCAAATGAACGAGAAACCCACCATGACAAAGGCTTGTTTTGGCGAGGCGGCCAGCATTGGTACAAAAGGGGAGGGTCAGCTTTTTTGATTCTCACAGTTCTCACTTGCTCCCCCTCGTTGCCTTGAGACCAAACGGGAGAAGTGCAAGGTGAAAAGGTCGGCTTTGGTCAGGTGAGTTTTGGCTCCGCCGTGGCTTTTTGCACAGTGGATCGTCACTCAATGCTTGAACTCGAGCAGTGGGAACCTAGAATCTGAATGTGCGGCACCAGACCCGAACCAGCACAAACACCCGGGTGACACCAATCCTACGACATCCTGACCACTTCACCTAAAACTGGTGACAGACCAGCTGAGGATACCAGGATGTTGGAAGACAGTCCTCTTGAGGCCCCCGAAACCTCCACTGAATGGTGGAAAGGGGATACCCCCTTACAATGCCCCTGTTTTACTATCTGGGCTGTGCAACTTTTAGTGCCCAAATTGAAACCCAACCACCAACATAAAGGCCTAAAAGGCTAAACACCTAAACAACTACAGGATGAAAATAGCTGGGAAGACCTTGTGCTTTGGCAAAGTGCTTGCTCGGCGGCATCCTGCCCGTCTATCTGCATCCATGGATGGGCCCTTTGCACATGAGGGCCATGAGAACCCTAACGAAAGGCAGCGGCCCAAGCCCGTTGCAAGGCACAACCAGGCTTTTTTCCCCTGCTTACTTCTCCGTAGCCTTTACTTCAACCAATTCACGAACACCGAGCAAAAGAAACTCTCATGCGAAAGGAAAATCCTCCAGCATCTTTCGGTCAGATTTCATGTTCATGGGCAGCGTATGGTCTCCTTTTCAACCCTTGGTATGGGCTTGCAAAACGCTGCCTCGCAACCCCCTACTGAAATTGAACAGGGCCACCCAAAAGCCAACAAAACCAAACAAAACCACCCAAAAACCACACAGCTTGATCCAGTGCTCCAAGCCCCGCCTGGTTGCCCAGGTCTCCCGCTTCTGCGCCCACAAGCGCACCACCCGTGCCGGCTGATGTGCGCCAGAGTCCGAGGCCGCTTTCTGGTTGTCCTCGAGGATTGTGCGGCCAACCAAATTCAGGGCCCTTTAGGCATGGGGGCTGGGGGGGAGGGAGGGGGAGGGGGGGGGAGCCCAAATAAGCCCTTATTTAACCCTCCCTCCCCCCCAGCCCCCATGATTTAATTTAGAATTGGCGACATTTGCTGGGTCATCATTTCGACCGTTCCTGGGTATCAAAGTCAGAGAAGGGGCGAGTTTGATCATGGTAAAGTAATGAGGCCAGGTTTTCGCGTCCCTTAACTCACTTCCGATCAAGCGGCCAATCTGTTTGTTACAATTTATCTTTCGTCCATTGGGAAAAAACTGTGGCGAACTTGGGCCCCTTTACCAACATTATTTCTTTCCATCTCCTCGTCCATTAAGAAACGTGTGAGAAAATATGGCCAGTGGTGATAGATCGACATTTTCTTCGCGCCGTGTGCTGCAAGGCCATTAGTTGTACAAGGAACAAATGTTTAGGATTGTTTTGCCCCGTCCACCCAGGAAGCGAGGCGAATTTGTTTCCCCAATCAAAAGTAAAGAGAGGCCCAAGGCCCGTTGAAGTAACATTGTGGTTTCACAAGTAATCAAGTTTCGAAGCCTTCCAAAATGCTTAGGCGCTTTGAGGGACCCTGAGCTGACTTCCTTTTCTCGGCCAAGATCGGAAGTGAGCCAAGGGACTCCTCAAGGGACCCTCAAAATGTTGCCAATTTTACGGGGCCCTGAAAACTCCCATTCAGTTAATAATATCTTTCTTTTTCGTCCGGTTGAGAATGAGGATGTATCACCACTGGACACATTTATCTCCTTTTTCCAAAGGACTTGAGGAAGGTAGTAGAGCTTCCTGACCTGTTCCATGCTGTACGAGTAGCGTGTTCTTCCGCGAAGTTCTGGCCCCCACCTTCGTCTGGCCTCAGCCACCACTCGGCGTAGATGCTTGGCGCAGTGGAGAGGCTCCTCTGAGCCGTGTTCTCGTCATGCAAAATCAGCCTGTGCCTCCGCTCAAGCCCCCACAAATATTTTCCTCAAGCAGCCCGTTGATCACGGAGTTCTTCTGGTCGACTGGGATCTCCAGCAAAAGTCCCTTATCACGTTCACCTTCCCAATCAGATCCGCCGAAGAATGTGGGAAGGCACGATAATTGGGGTTGGGTTGGGGTGGATAAGGGTGTGGAGTTGAGGTGGAGTTGAGGTGGAGTTGAGGTGGAGACCTATCTGTGGATGGGCGAAATCCTGCATCACCCAAAGAAACCAGGGGAATCCTTCATCATTCAGTTGGGTGTCTGAACCGGTGCTGCGATTTAAGAGGATGTCGCGACTACGCACGGTAGCCCTGGGCTTCAAACCGCCATTGAAACAAAGGTTGGGTTCATAAAACCGCAATAATTTACCCTCTGCAGGAGCTCAACATCCAACGTAGGTCCCAAGGCCAGTGTTTTCGTGGGGGCAAAGAACAGGGCTCCCTATATTTCCCCTTAAGACATCTCCCCCACCAATTTCATGGGCCAAAAAGGTGATCTTTGAAAAGCCACCAAAAAAGGGATACAGTATATAGGGACCCCAGAAAATGAAACGGTTTTTTTTCTCGGGGACCCCCCCAGCGACCAAAAAGGAATCGAGAGCGCTTCCGGTTTCGTCGTCTCCTCGGCGCAGTGGCAGAGCTTCGCCCAGGAGGGCTCCAGCTGAGCGCGCAGCTCCTGGAGCCCAAGGCAGCCCTCCAGCAGCAGAGCGAAATCCGCGAGGAGTCCCGAGAGGAGACTCCCGTCCTCCCAAAAGTCCTGATCTTGGCACGACGATTTTTTTTTTGGGGGGGGGGAGTTGAGGGGTTGGAGGGAGGCGTTGGAGGGGTTGGAGGGGTTGGAGAATCTTGGCACGGGGACGTTTTCCTGCTCCAAAAAAAAAACCCAATTCCACTCATCTAGTCTTCCCCATAAAAGTCCTGAGAATCTTGGCACAACCGGCGGGGGGCGGGGGAGGGGGGGACGAGGGTTGTGGGGTTGAGGAATATCTCAGATGCCCAGTGGATTTGCATTGGGAAAAAAGAATCGGCATCCGTTGTTCTTTGGCTGGTTCACTTTAAAGGGGAGCCCTTCCCCGAAACAAAGGAAAAAAAGGCGCCGCTGGGATATTGGCACGACGGGGGAAGGGTGGGTGGGGGTGGGGGGACAAGGGGGGACAAGGGGGGGAGTTGAGGGTTGAGGGGTTGGAGGGAGGAGGGTGTGCTCGAATTCTTGCAAACCTAGAGAGCGAGTGAAGGGATTTGCAATCTATCTCATCATGTTATAAAAACAAAAAATCAAATAAAACACTAGACACAGAAGTGCTCACAGCTTTTCTCTATTGCATTGTTTTACTAACACAATGAATACCAGTAGAGCCGGCGAAGCCGGTGGGCGGAAGTTTCAAAAATATAAAAACCATAGTTATCTTTCTCTTTCTTTTCTTGACTCTTTTCCTCTTCTTCTTCCTTTTCATTGTTTCTTTTTTCTCCGTCAGCCTTCCTTTCTTCCAATCCTTCCTCCCTTCTTTCCTTTTTTTTTCTTTTCGTTTGCTTATTTTTGTGCTGTTCTTTCTTTTGTCTCTTCTCTGATTTTTTTTTATCTGTCTATCTATCTATCTACCTAACTACCTATCTATCTACCTCTATCTCTCTATCTAGATATCTACCTAGCTCTCTATCCCTCTCTCTCTCTCTCTATCTGTCCATCCATCCATCTACATCTCTATCTATTTATCTATCTATCTATGTCTCTATCCATCTACCTATCTATCTATCTATCTATTTATCTATCTATTTCTCTATCTATCAATCTATCTTCTGTTTGTTTATCTATCTGTCTATTTATCTCTCTATCTATCTCTCTATCTCTCTTTCTTTCTATCTATCTATCTCTCTCTATCTCTTTCTATCTATCTATTTATCTCTCCATCTATCTCGCGCGTATCTATCTATCTATTTATCTATCTATCTATCTATCTGTCTCTCTATCTGTTTATCTCTCTATCTGTCTCTCTGTCTATCTATCTCTCTATCTCTCTACGTATCCCTTTATCTGCCTATCTATCTATCTCTCTCTCTCTCTCTGTCTGTCTATCTCTCTATCTCTCTATCTATCTATCTACCTATGTATCTATCTATCTATCTATCTATCTATCTATCTATCTCTTTGTCTCTCGTGTATTTATCAATCTCTCTATTTATCTATATTTCTATCTATCTATACATCTACCTATCTTTCTATCTCTCTATCTACCCAGCTCTTTATGTATCTCTCTATCTTTCTCTCTCTACCTATCTATCTATCTACCATCCATCCATCCATCTATCCATCTATCTATCTATATATTTCTTTATCCATCTACCTATCTATCTATCTATCTCTCTATCTCTCTTTCTATCTATCTATTTATCTCTCTCTCTATCTATCTATTTGTCTATCTATCTATCTGCTGTCTATTTATCTATCTATTTCTCTTTCTATTTCTCTCTCTCTCTCTCTCTTTCTATCTATCTATCTATCTCTCTATCTACCTATCTATCTGTTTATCTATCTCTCTATCTCTCTCTCTATCTCTATCTATCTATCTATCTATCCCTCTATCTATCTGCCTATAAATTTTCAAGCCCCAGCTGCAAAAGTGGACTTCGCGTACTACTTTCGTTTCGAGCCCCAGCTGCGAAAGTGGACTTCGCGTACTACTTTCGTACTTAAAAGTTGCGATTTTTGCTGCGCGTGCCACGAAATGACCTTGCGAAAGTGCTGCGCCTGCCACGAATTCTGCACTTGACCTTGCGAAAGTGCTGCGCCTGCCACGAATTCTGCACTTGACCTTGCGAAAGTGCTGCGCCTGCGACGAATTCTGTGCGTGACCTTGCGAAAGTGCTGCGCCTGTTGCGAAATCTGTACCTGACCTTTCGAAAGTGCTGTGCCTGCCGCGAATTCTGTACTTGACCTTGCGAAAGTGCTGTGCCTGCCACGAAATCTGTACCTGACCTTTCGAAAGTGCTGCGCCTGCCACAATATTTGTACCTGACCTTTCGAAAGTGCTGCGCCTGCCACGCAATTCAAGCCTAGGGAAAACTTGACCTTGCGAAAGTGCTGCGCCTGCCACGCAATTCAATCCTTGCGAAACCTCCGCGTTGCCGTGCCAATGGGCCCGCGCTCCGAGCATGGTCCGAGACTGCCCGAACGCGCTCCGAAAGCGCTCCGAACGCGCTCCGAACGCGCTCCGAACGCGCTTCGACCAGGCGCCGCGAACAGGCTAGCTTCCAGCTCTCCGGAGACACCAATTCACGCACGGGGCCACGCTTTTTGCAGATTCCTTACTCCCACCACACGCGCGCATATTTTCTCGCGTGCTTATTCCTTCTCTTCATCTGTCTCAGCGAGAGCTGGCTTTCAATTAGTTGCCGTAACACGGAAGTTCCTTCTAAACTTCCTTTGAATAATATGTTCCAACTGATTGGGGAGAGGTTGGGTTGGGGCGAATGGGGCGCTCTTTCGGGGCGTTGGGAAGGGAAGGGGAAAGCGTCCCTGTCCACTTCCGGACATCTCGGGGTTGGGTTGCCAATCGAAAAGGGAAACTCACTTGCCCAAAGGACCTGAATTCGAAAAGTTTATATCACCTTTTGGGACCCCTACTAAAACTGAACCCGGCTTGAACAACCGAGGAGAGCAGGTTCTCTCACAAGTTTCGGGCAAAATGCTCCCTGAAGGCAATCGAGATGGAACTCTAGAGGCCTTTTACGGGTAAGCTCACACCTCTACGGCCAGTGGAAACCATCTTGGATTCCTGATCAAGTGATACTGGTTCACATGTAGTTAAAATTACGATGGAACATAAGTTTGGAGGAGACCCCAAATCTTCTTGTGGGTTTCCTCAGCGAAAACTTTGCAACCCTTCGTTTGGGCTGCAAAAAAAACATTGTTTTTTGCAGCCCACTACTGCAAAATTAACAGATCCCCAAACATCCAAACATTATGCCAACAAGTCATCCCACTACTGCAACATGAACAGATCCCCAAAAATCGAAACACAATATGCCACCAAGTAAGCGAAGAAGAAACAAAAAGAACAAAAATGAAGAAACAAAAACAATCCAAACTTCCGCGAGCGAGTCGTAGCCCGCCTCCCAGTGCACCTGCACGCCGCGGCTTACTCCCGCGCGCTCTTTGTCCAGCACCGCGTCCTTGTGCGCCAGGCGGTTCTGACATCGCAAAAGCCAGGCCTCGTCCTTCTCCAACGCTACGCCTCCTCAGCTCGATTCGATGGGCCTCGGGCACGGAAAACCCCTCCGCGCCCGGGTCGGGTGGTGTCACGTCCGTTTCAGGCCGCTTGGGGAAACCAAGAAGCCTTAGTCCACTTTGGGCATCCCTTGATAGCGATATAAGTGAGAAGTTAGACAGCCATTTCCGGCTTTGAGGGCTCCTCAACCCCGGGGTTTCCTTTTCCATGGGTGTGTTTTGGCGGGCGCCCTGTTTGTTTTTCGGTGTGGGACGTGTGGGTTGTTTCAAAGGCAAGCTGACAGAATCACCACAATGCTTAGGGTTACCATTGGGTTCGTCTCATGGGGTAACCCTTGAACACGAGTTTCTTTTTCTTTCTTCTACGCCGAAAAGGATGTCCATCCATATGCCCCAGTGCCCCGCGACCCAAACCGAAGCCATCGCTCTCGGCGCACGTGGCCAGGGCGCGTACCGCCTGCAGAGCGCGGCTCAGCAAGCCTCAGTCAGTCGAGGCGTGAACGCCCCAAAGCGGCCCATGCTCGGTTTTCCCCTGAGGTCCCTTGAATATTGAGACGTAAATGGCCAAGACCTCTTGGGAAAATGATACAACAAACCAAACAAAAAAACAAAACAGAACTGGGCTGCCCTCAGATCCCCGGCTAAAAGTTTAACTTTTGGTGTGTTTAATGAAAACTATAACTAAACACTAAAAGGCTAAAAACCTAAGGGGATGGCTGGGGGCCACCAAGAGAACACAAAAAAAGCAAGGGAATGTTAAGACACTCACCATCCTGGCTCCAAGAACCCCACCCGCCAGAAGACCCGTGCAAAGGGCACTGTGGTTTTTTGGTGGCTATTGGACCAAGAAAGCCGCACTGATTTCGGAAGGGAGCACTGAAGGGAATCGCAATGTGGCGTGTGCTGCGCTGTGGTTGAAATGGAAGCCCACTTCTGTGATACAACAAAAAGGGCCGAACCCCAAAGACGAATCCCCCATATAGAGAGGGGATTCCATTGCAATTATAATAGTGGTTGGATAAACCCCGAGTCTGCGTCCGCTTCCTGAAGAAAGGAGAACATATCTAATTTCCAGTAGTGAAACCGATTCCCTTTAAAACCAACAGGGAGAAACGAAAACAAACGGTTGCTGTTGACCCCTCTGCAACTAGTGAATAAGTTTTCGTGGGTGTAGTACGGAGAACCCTTTGATTTCACAAACAAGTTTAAAATCTAAAGATCCAACCCAATAGCACTCATGAAACGGGAATGGAAAACCTTCAATTTGCTTGAGCCCCCTGGAAACAAAAAACACCTAAAATATATGTCCAGTAGTAAAGCCGATTCCCTTTAAAACCAACAAGGGGTAAAAAAGGAAAACCAATACATATTTCCAGTAGTGATAGATTCCCTTTAAGACCAACAAGGGACATTAAACATATCTATTTCAGCCAACGGGAGAAACGCAAACGTTGGCAGAACCCCAAGCTCATGGGGGCTGGGGGGGAGGGAAAAAAGGGGAGGGAGCCCAAATAAGCCATTGTTAAGCCCTTAATAAGGCCTTATTTAGGGCCCTTAATAAGGCCTTAATAAGGCCTTTTGGGGCTCCCTCCCTCCCCCCCAGCCCCCAAACGCATTCTGCTTAAAGGCCGTGCCGGTGCTCAAGGCGTCGGAAGTGCTGCGCGCTGCAGCGGCCCTCAGCCCGTGCGCGACGAAGGAAGGAGTCCATCTCCTGCTCCAGGCTACCTGGACTCCAGGCTCTTCTCAGTCGTTCAGTGACCCTGGAGAAAAAAAGAACCTTTTTTGGGGAAGACCATTTGAGTGGGGCAGCCACCAAAACAAGGGGAAAACGGGTGCCACTGAACAACTGAGGCTTCATTCATCTTCATTCTGCGAGTTTTCTCGCAAGGACCCCCCAAAAAAGAAAATACAAGTGTGGATCGTTGGTTTGGAGGTGCGTTGTCTAACGAGTGAAGCATAGTGCTGACCCTGGATTAATAAACCTAATTGGTGGCTCGCTGTGACGTAAACATGTCCCCTTCAAAGCTGGGACAGCATTGAACACCTCAAACCCGGGAAATGGCTTAAACAACTCTGTTGCCCAGTGGTGCCCTTTAGGGTTCCCCTTTAAACTCAACCAACAAAAAAGGGGTACCCTTAAAGCTTTTTTTTGCCATGGCCACTGGGCATCTGAGACAGCCTTTGTTGTTCAATCTCGGGTTTCGCAGACTGCGGGGATCTGGATCACTGGAAGAAACAGTCCGCTCTCTTCCCTGCGGGCGTGTCTGATTCGGGGGACCCCCAAAAAAAAGGTTGTCGTTTTGGTTCCCCTTTCAACCCGTCTGAAAAGGGTACCAAATCCAAAAAAAGGCGGACAAACATGATATGAGAAACTTCCAGGTGAAACCCTGGCAGCTCCGATTTTGGATCCCTCTTTACGATGGCACATTTGGATACCGGGTCCCAGCTCCCTTCGTCCAGCTCCCATTCAACCACCAGCTAGGTGAAAAGCAACTTGCCACAGAAATGCCATTGTCGCCAGAAGCGTCCTTTTGGTGAAAGAGCGGGCACTGGTGAATGATTCACCTACAACCAGTGGACCCCTCAATGTTCAACCAGCTTTTTTCTGGTGTCTATTTTAGTAGGGGAACCCTCCCCCAAAAAAGGGGTGAGAAAGGGCACTACTGGGGGACCTAGCCAGACTTGACCGGTCAAAAGGCCACCTACTGTCACAAATTTGGCGCCACGTCGCTGAGAAGCTCCGCCTCCGTGGACAGAAACTCGCGCAGGCAGTGCAAGGCCTCGTTCGCCACAGCCTTTGCATCCGCCCCACACGCCAGCGCCTGGAAGGTTTCAGCAGGGTCTTTTGGGGGTGCGTCTCAAGCAAAAGGAATCGGGCCACGCCAAACCCGTGCAGTTTCCTCGGTTTCCCGTTTAAAGCAACACCTTTTTTGGGGTGCTATCAAAAAAAGACCCAAGTGCTTTCGCCGCCTTGCGCCATCCTGAAACGGGGACTCTAACCTTGACAACCCTCCCCCCCCACCTAAACAAATGGTTGATTGAAGAAATGTTGTCCAACCCTGTTGCCTCCTGCACGATCGCATCCTTCTCCAAGGCCACTGTCACTCGCTGGCACCACCCGGCCGCGCTGCCGGCAGTGACATGTGCCGTGGCCGCGGTCAGGTCCTTCTTTCCAACTTCGGTGGTCGCGGGTGTCTTTGGCTTTAGGGGGGACCAACAAAATTGTGCTTTTCCCTTCAGCTTCCCTCTGAAACCAAAAAGGGGGTCCTGAAAAAACATTGGCTTGTGTTCTTTTGAGGGTACCTTTTGCAGTTGAGGGAAACCAGAAGGAAACCTAGCGTTTGCAGTGTGTTCGAGGCTTCCGCTTGGAATGTGTTCTTTTTGAGCTGGTACCTTCTCAGGTTCCCTCAAGGGAAACCAAGAGGAGGCCCACCATTTTGTGAGCCCCCCAATTCTGACACCGAGTTGGCTTCGGGTTCCCTATGCTTCGAAATGTCCTTTTGCTTCAGGCGGAGCAAGCACACAGGAAACACGTGCATGTGTTGATCCTGTTTCACAGTTCGCCCCTGAAATGTCTCATTGTTTGAAAAAAGAAGAACAAAACGAAGAGGGGCCGCGCCGGATTTGTGTTGGGAGCCCAAAATGAACCCCTGGGCCCCTGGAACCCGTCGTGCTTAAACCACCCGTGGACAAACCTTCAAGCATGTCCAAGAACCAACAAAAACGTTCGAACATGAACCCAAGAAGCAACAAAAACGAGAAGGAGCACATATTGGAAGCCCTGCCTTTACTCACACCGGGGATTTGTGCAATTCCGCGCAGCATGAAGACACCCATACGGCACATCGGGTTTCCTGTTGCTTTGCCCGACATGAACCAGAACACAAGCAGCCATGATGATGCTTAAGCAACCAAAGAAGTAGTTGTTGTGGGCCCCTGCACGCAGGTAAGTCAGCCTCCTGCAAATAAACATGGAACCAACATGAACCAAACAAACACCCCCCGTTTCAAAGGAATGTGCTTTGTAGGAAAGACACCAGTAACCCTAGCAGGGAACCATTTCTGAGCTTTTCCAGCCAAAAGACCAAGCGAAAAACAACTTACCAATCAACCAGGGGCTACTCACTTCCCAAGGGTCCAAAACAAATATGAGTTCACTTTTTCTTAGCCACTAAACTGGTCCAAGACCAACAAGTGACTAAAGTCCAGGAAATCAGGAAGTGAGCTCAGGGTGGTATCCACTGAGCTTGGTTGCTGTTAACCCCCCTGCAAAAAGTTTTACATTTTGGGGGTGTAGTGGAAAACGCCTTGATTTCCCAAAAAGTTGAAGTCTAAAGATCCGTTGCCCAATAGCAGTCCAGCGAGCAACTGGCACGACGCCGAACCGGCGTCCAACGAGCGATGGCCTTCGGCAGCTTGGGGAAGTGCGCCCTCCAGTTCTGCTGCGAGGTGTGCCGCGCAAAGGCCTGGCACGCAGATCCAGCGAGGGTCTAGTTGGGTGCGTTGAAATAGGGGTGCCTCCCAATTCCTCCTTAACCTGAAAGGTGGGTACCCTTAAAAAGCCACTTTGGGATCCACGAAAAAAACGAACAACTTGAACAACCACACACACAAACACGCACACCGACTTGGGTACTGAAACCACCTGAATGGAGAAACAAAAGCGCCCCCTAAACTTGCCGTTGGCTATATTTGGCGTTGGCTCAACCATTGCCCCCCCTTGTTGGGTTCCTTTCAGTTTTCCTTTACAGGCATCCCAAGAAGGGCTTCCGATTTTTCGCAGGCGGCACAAGGCAACTGTGTAATTTACTTTTACCCTGGTGTTGATGTTGAACACTCCCCGAGCAGAAATTTGGCGACTTCCCCATTCGCAGGTTGGATGACGTCAGCGAGGAATTGGCATTCGTGCAAGTGGGACGTGGCTTGCTGTCCTTGTTTCAGTTACTTGGCGTGTCGTGCGCCCTTCTTTCGTTTCAGTTGTTTCATGCCAAGGCCATAATCACAATCAACACCTTGTACTTACGAGCCTGCCCCAGGAGAGCAGATATTTCCACCGATGTCTTGGCCATGTGGGGTGAAAAGGAACGCATCAGACTCCGTTCCATACTTAGCCTACTCTAAAATATAATGCATAAAAAAAGGAGGAGACTAACTAGTAATACTCAGGTCGCCATTTGATCTGGAGCAGCTTCGCTCGAAGGGAGCCAGTGAAGCATATAGGGAAGCATTGGGGGAAGTCTGGTGGGAAAGATGTCAACCAACTAAGTCTCTAAGTAATGTGCTCCAAACAGAATGAGGGGTCATTGGCGTGACCCCCCCCCCCACAGTCCTCAGTCTGGGCAAATTGACGTTACCCGCATGAATTTAAACTCGTAATTAATTATGATCGTGTCTCTTCCCTTTTAAAAATAGTGACCCCCTAGTAATAGAATCATTGAATTGATCCTTGCTGGCTGGCATGAAACGGTTGATTCCCTTCACATACTGCAAATGGGACCCTGTGTTCAAATGGATTGCAGCTGTCTTGCAATGTGAAATAATTTTGCCGTAGCAACACAAAATATGCAATATTTCAGCACGAAGCCAAGAAGTGTGAACAAGGGATCTTACGATCAAGGGTACATGCTTACATGCCCCGAACATACTTCCCCGAACATACTCCGCAAACCCCCTGTGCACGTTCTACGTTCTGCCAGGGGTTGACCATATGTGTCAAAGGGGCATCCGTCAACATGTGGCCTTGGTGGTTCGCTTCAAAACCAACCTAGTACACAAGCACCCAGTGGCTTTCCGATTGGTTTCCTTTACCACTTGGGAAGCATCCGCTTCGACCTATGGCTTGGATTGATTTGGAGCTTAGGAAGTGGCTTCGCCCCTGGTTTCAAGTCCAATCCAGGCAACGCATAATACAGGGCAGCGTGAGTATTAAACCTGGAAAGGGTATCAATTGACAAGAAGCACAAACCCATGAGGGCACAACCATTTATATACTTGTGGTGTCCTTGTGGCTTCCCTTCAAACCGACCTGGAACGGGCCACACCTCAAAAAACAAACACCTCCCCACACGCAAACACACAAACACACACACACACACCCACACACAAACGCACAAACAAACAAACAAACAAACAAATCAAACAAACAACCAAACAAGCAAGCAAGCAAACAAGCAAACAAACACACAACTAACTAACTAACTAACCAACCAACCAACCAACTAACTAACTAACTAACCAACTAACCAACTAACTACCTGACTGCTGACTAAGTAGGTAAGTAAGTAAGTAGCTAAGTAAGAAAGTAACTAACTAACTAACTAATTAGCTAACTAACTAACTAACTAACTAACTAACTAACTAAGCAACTACGAATACCTAAGAACTAACGAACTAACTAGCACAAACACACAAACCAACGGACGAAGAAACTGCCAAACAACAAAACAAACAAACAAACAAACAAACAAACAAACAAACAAACAAACAAACAAACAAACAAACACACAAACAAACAAACATAACTACACACACACACGCCGCACACACACACACACGCACACACACACACACACGCACACACACGCACACGCACACGCACACACACACACACACACCCACACCCACACCCACACACACACACGCACACACGCGCACACACAGACACACACACACAGACAAACACACACAGACAAACACAGACACACACAGACACACAAACACACAGACACACACACAGACACACACACACACAGACACACACACACACAGACACACACACAGACACACACACACACAGACACACACACACAAACACAACAGGCACACAACACGCACACGCAACACGCACACGCACACGCACACGCACACCCGCACACCCACACACACCCACACACACCCACACACACCCGCACACGCACACGCACACGCCCACGCTCACGCACACGCACGCAAGCACGGAAGCACGCACGCACGCACGCACCCACACACACACACATCTCACACACAGGTGTAGTCCAAAACCGAACGGTGGAACCAAGGTCACGCTCGCACACGCGCAGACGCTCAGACGCACAGACGCATAAACGCACAGAGGCACAGACGCACAAACGCACAGACGCACAGACACACACACACACAGACACACAGACGCACAGACGCACAGACACACAGCCACACAGCCACACTGCCACACAGACACACACACAATTACACAATTACACAATTACACAATGACACAATGACACAAATACACAAACACGCAAACACACAAGCAGATGTGTAGTCCAAAACCAAATTGTGGAACCGTGGTCACGCGGCAAGGGTTTAAATTCTATCCCTTGGTAGGAAACCAAGGGAAACACAAAGAACCCAAGGGACACCAAAGCCAACCAACGCAACTGTCAGGGGAACCAAGGGGTTTAACCCCGGAAACTGTTTTACTTGTGTACCCGCGGGTGGACATCCTGCAAAACCTCGGGTTGCTCCGAATCGACGCGAAAACAGCGACGGCACTCGCCTGGTACTTAGCCGCATCCCGAGGCTCAAAGTCCACAGCGCAGACCAATGGCCGGCACCCGGAATCCTTTGGGGTTCGATGACTCAAATCAACCGAGAGATCTCGCAACCAGGCAAACCACTACCATCTAGCACGAGCATCTGGCGGATTGAGTTTGAAAGACCCAGCTTATTGCCCAAAGAGCCCAGAAATAACAGGTTAATGGGGGATTTGCCAGTTTCTGTGGCATATGCCTGGGGCAGCTAGTTCTGGGTCATATAGTCTTCCATTTGCTGAAATCCCCTGGAAAACACAAACAAATGCCCAGTAGTGATAGATTCCTTTTGAAACCAACCGGGGGAAATAATACATTGTCTTAAGCAACTGGAAGTAGCTCCACGTGAAGTTGAAAGGCAAAATGCATGTCTAGTGCACAGAAAGCCCTCTTCGGGACCCAGAAAAAAGCAGGCGATCGATCGCCTTTTCAGGAGCCTTTGAGACAACCAACAAGTGAAATCCAGTCAATTCGCTTTGGGCAAGAGAGTCACACAAAACTGAAAAAGGGAATCCCGAAGCTGAGAAACATCCAAGCCCTTGTCGAGTGTATCGGAGTCATTGCAGCATTCAAGGCGGGTTCCCCCATGAACATGCGCGATGACTAGAACTCACAGACCGGACATAAGGAAAACCGTTACTAATTTTGGGCCCTTCGTGTGAGAGGTCATGCTACTCGCTACAAAAGAAGACTTTGTGACTTCGCATGGGTTCACGGTTCACCTTTTCGTCCATTCCTAGAAACACACATCACGAGGTGTGGTCAAGGTTCCGAATGCTGGACAATTCCCCAATGAAGCCTTACAGTTCGAATGGAGCCGTACCCTTTGGACAATTCACGGAAGTGGGCAAGCTGCCCCAAAAGGAGGGCAGCCTTCCGCAAGCAGGTTCCATGATTGGAGTGCAGGTATTCACCCGTGGGTACTCAAAAAAAGATCCACCACCCATGGGGATTTGCAGAAATGATTTTCTGGGCACCCTCTCCACAAACATAGAACCTAACGTTGGATGCTCCTAATTTGGACCGTGCCTCTCCTTAGAACCTAACTTTGAACGGTCCCGTTTTCGTTTTCGGAACTGCTGGTGGGTTCCATGGCAACCCCTCCACTTTCGGAGGGGCATTTTTTTCGCCTCACCCCCCGGTTCCTTCAGGTCAAAATGCGCAAAAACCGCCGAAAATGCTTCGGTTGTTTTACTTTGGCTCCCTTTGACGCAACGCAAATCGGTATCCTCGGAAAGGGGCAGGCCCAAAGTTCTCAAATGCACCCAAGTTGGTACCCAAGCAGCCGGTACCCTCACATTGCCCTAAGCATCCCAACTTCATTGGGGGTGTCGTAGAGCTGCGGGGGTGTGGGGGAAGGTGTTCTTGAGGCCCAGAGGCAATGGGGTTGTCACAGGGACACCCCCGGTGTCGTAGTGAGGGCCCAAAGCTCCGAAGGCAAAGTTGCGCAAAGTACAATGCAAGCAGTCCAGCAGAAACTTTTAGGCGCCCAGCCACACAGACTTGGGCGATATATAAAGCATTCAACCATATATGCAAAGTTGTTTCTTCGCTTTCGCTCTCACAAGAGTCGCCTGCAGTTGAAGGGTAAGCTCCGACTACCTACGCTCTGTTTCACGCTATGTTCGGGGATGTCTCTCTCAATGCGTTGACGCTTAAGCATTAAGGCCGCTGCGTCAAAAGCAAAACCAAGTTGGGCCTTTAGAGCCGGAATGCTGAAAACTGCAAACAGAAAGAGCACATCCCCTGAACTAGCTGGGTTTATCTTTGACCAGGTGTTTGCGGTTCTCTACGTGAGGAATAGAAAATTGCGAGCCCGCCAACCTAGTAAATGAGCTTGCACTTTTTGCCTAAGTTGACCTCTTGTTTTTTGACAGCGCTTCTTGGGCCAAAATCGAACACATAGTAATCATAGGCTTACGTGCTAAACATCATTGCGTCGATTACCTGACGCGAACTTTTATCACTGATATCACCTTCCAGCAGCGCTGGTAACGGTGTAACGATGCGTGCCTGAAGACAAGTCCAACATGGTCACACCAATCTTTGTCTAGTAGAAGCCGGTTCCGGGGTGCAGATGAGAACTTGCTTCAAACTTTACACATATGCGAAGCGAAGGTACTGATGTGTGCTGTACTTTCCGGTTCGGGCTTACTCCCTTATTCTGCGCGTTTTGCCAGTGGCAACGATGGACCAATCACGGACCCTTCGCTCACTTTAGCATTTCCACTAAACATGTTTGACAGAACCGAAGCAACAACAAACACCACCCGAGAAAGGTTGCAAGATGCTAATACACACAAAGCATCGCAAAGGACACACACCCACACACACGCGCACACAGGGGCAACCAAAAAAGCCCGATCCAAGCTGCGGCAGCAATTAACAAACAGTATATCTCCTAACCCTAGGAGCCCAAGACCTCATTATTTGGGGCCTTTGGCCTGAAAGCTTTCAAACTCAAACGCTTTCCGATGCTTTCCGACGCGTTCTGGCGCTTTCCGGCGGGTTAAGATGCTTTCCGACGGCTGGGGCATCACGGGGCGTCAAAACCTTGCAATTTTGACACCCCCTTTCCGACGTTTCCGATGCTTTCCGACGTTTTCCGATGCTTTCCGATGCTTCCGACGTTTCCGACGCAAAAGTTTGACCGCCCCCGCAGTCAAAGAAACATTACCACCGCCACGCATATAGCTCATGACCAAAACACACACGCAAGTGCTCCAGCGTGGGCTGTTTAGATGCTGGAAGCGCGGGAAGAGCATACTGCCGGCATACCCACAGGCGCTTGGCTTGGCAACAAGCAATTGCTTTGGCTAAGTGTACTGTTGATGAGCCAGGGTCACGTGGGTACGTTACCGAAGGAGGAGACACGCGCAAAAGCTTGACCTTTAGACGGCACACTCCAGCTGGAATGCACTGATGCAATACCTGGCAAACCCTTAATGGGAAATATCGAAAGGTTGGGTTTCAAGGAGATCTTGGCAGAAACAAACCAGTCCGATATACCCAGTGTGTTGGAATATGTGCGCTTAACCAAAGCAACGCTACCGACCTAAATTGCTCGTGGGAAACTCGCGTTCGCCCAATGCCGCGTCACGCGCCTGCCAGAGTACAAGAGCAAATGGATCCCCTTTGTTGCTGCGTTCTGCTTCGAACTGGTTTGGTCATTGACTCCGCTTCCGTAAATGTTTGACCAGGGGTGGAGCAGTTTGTTTCTGCGAGGTGTTAATTATGAACCTTCCCAAGCATGATACTGTGACACATTTGGCAGGCAAAAGGCGGAATGACTAGTCAACATGTTTGTTTCGCCACTGGCGGAACAGGGCCAAGCAGCGTGAGGAATTGGAACACGAGCGTTGCAACTTTGCAAAGCGACGCGAGGCATCGTAAACATTGGGAAGGGTTGGAAAGCGTCGGAAATCTCAGAAAGCACCGGAGCTTGCCAACGTTAAAATCAAAGGCTTGAAGGACAGACGCGGTGGAACGGTGTGGGGTGTAAATTTTCGAGTCATCGAATGCGCTGGAACGAGTGAGAAAGCAACGGCAATCATTGTCAAGAGGAGGGCTGGAAGCGGGTGGCAGCATGCAAACAGAACTGGACAACAAAAAGAAGCTGTTCAAAGCGCTGCTGAAAACACGCGTAGAGTATGCGCCAGCTGCACAGCAAAACACTTTTTATGGTCTCATGGCCCTTGAATATGCATCCTTCGGGGCGTCGGGGCGTCAGCACTGTGTCCCCCACACCCCCAGGACCCGGGTTCTCCAATGCACACCCCAAAGATTCTTAGGGTGCCACCCCTCAAACCTGGCTCCCTCTGTGCCACATTGGGACCGGTCCCATCCAACCACCAGCCACTCACTTCCTCTTGGCCCAACAAGTCCAAGACCTTTTACCTGCCACTCAAATGGCCCAAAAACCAAACCGCTTTTGTTTTCCAGTCCGAAGCGGAGCTCGCGGATCAAGAGAGGCCGTTCCGCGAAGCCGAGGCCGGAAAGCCGCGGCCGGAAAGCGCTTTCCGCGCCTTGAGGAAGATGTCCAGGATCCAATCCACGGCGCCCTCGGAGGCCGACTCCGCCGCGGCTCGCATCAAGGTGCAGCGGCTGATGGCCGGAGGCTGCGCGGTCCTGAGAAAGAAAATCCGGCGCATGAGCTGTCCAGGTCCTCCAGTAGAGACTGAGGGTAGAATAAGGGTACCAACTTTTGTTTCTGTCTATTTTAGTAGGGGACCCTCCCCAAAAAAAGAAACGGTAAAAGGGCCTAGAGTTGCACCTCAATTTCATGTCATTTTCAATAGTTTGACCACAAGAAAACCATACAACACGATCCCCTTATGTGTTAACAAGGGAACTTTATAATATCAAGAGACACCAAGAGGAAAAACCATGCATCTTTGAAGTGCCCGACATTTCTCCAACCCATGACGAGCACACCTTGATTTCTGCAAAACCCGCAGGGAATCCAATGCTCTTCCGAGCGGCCAAGCCTTGAGCGGCGAAGACCACTCGGACCAGCCTGCCAGGTTCCCCGTGCGCAGCCGTAGCCTCGGCGACGCGGAACCAGCAGGCGAAGGGTTTGCAGAACCAGTCTGTTGGTATTTTAAGGGAATCATACCATTCCAGGGTTTCTGAGGTGGTGCGAAATGGATTTCGTCCATCCACTGGTCGAAATCCGCTTCCCGCACCACTTCGCACACTACGGTCCTACCCATGGTGTGATGAAACTAGCAAGGGATCATCTTTCCAGGGGCTTCGTAGTCAGGATTCCGTCCACACGTATCAACATGGGACGAAGTGCTAGCAGTAAATGGGTAGGTTTGGTTTGAGAGGATGCCCTGCTTGGGGCTAGCACAATGAACCATCTGTTTTGGGGAAATCCCCACCACTTTTGAGACATACCCAAATCTCTGGAACCAATATCGAATAAATCAAAGCCCTTGGCCCTCTGCCATGGGGGAACTCCAGGATCAATCCCATTGGTTGCGGGGAACAGCCCTCATGTCTTTCAAAAGCCGGGGTCGACAATTCGCGGACCAGAAGAGCAACTCACCCATAATGCCATTTCGGCTGCAACTGGCTCCTTTCCACTGTCTAAGTGGCTCTTTGATTTTGATGGCAACTTTGGCAAAACTGTTGCTCGCCGCGCCTATGCCTCGTAGGCTGTTCTCGCACGCTGGCAGAAGCCTGTCAGGCCAGCGCCCTATTTAGACGTCTGCGATGTCACCTTGTGTTGTGTTGTAAGAGCTGCGCAGCACCTGTCAGACATCGTACGGACATATCTCACAGATGCGAAAAACAATCCTAACAAGAATGTTTTTTGAATCAAACAAACTTTGGCAGTCTGCTGAGGTGACTGCAGGCTTAAAGCAACATGTTGCCATCTCAGCCAAAAAAGCCACCATGCTCAATGGCCTGGCCTTGTCGCCAGTCCATTTCAACCCCGGTCAGGCGCAGCACTTTCGTCTCCCACGGTTTCACGCACTGTCGTAAGCTGCTCGCTGTCTTATACCCTGAGTGCTTCGCACTTTGCGTTGCACACGTTTGGAGGTTGTGTTTGTTAGCCGGCGTTGACTTGAACTACAAGGCCGTTTGGTTCTTCAATGCTTTTGGTGTCTGGGCCCGTGTGCCCGTGTCACCTTGCTAGCGTCGTGAACAAGGCAGGCGAGGGCGGGCAACGTTGTGGCAAAGGCTTGCCCATTCGAAAGCCGAACGCCAGCATGACAACACACGTTGAGCCCCTGGCCTCTTTGGCCCTGCACCAGCTTTTGGATCAGTTATGTTATTTGAGGGCTGGCTGGCCGAAAGCTGGCAATGCGCAGGGCAACTTTGTCAACAACCTTCCGTAATTCTCAAGCAGTTTGGGCCGGAACCAGCGCACGCCGGGCGCAAAAACCCCTGCGCGAATTGAAGCAGCTCACCAGTATGGCAGTGTCCTGCTTCATGTCTTGAACAATCACTTTTGACAACTGAAGCTACTTGCACGGACGGTGTGATAGACGCATGCAGACACACGTGCTCGGCGCGACTTAGGAAGCCTATAGGCCACGTCATGTCAGAGTTAGATCTGGCGGCATTGTTTCTGCTCTTGGGACGGCCTGCCGCTTTCTAACGCGCGCCGCAATCCGCACCGCAACTGGGCAAACCAATTCAGAATCACAAAGTGCAAATACTCCAGCTTGCTTTCAAGAAAAATTCACGCGAAAGAGGCAGCCGGTTGAAGTTGAAGGCTTTGCCGCATCAACAGACCCGGCATTCGGCTGCAGCCAAATGCGTTGTTTCTCGGGTCTGCGCTTCGTCTTCCTGCGGAAAACTGTCGCAATTTTGCTCCGGCATTCAGCTGCATCCTTTTTTGGAATAGCGATGGAAAACAACCACAGGTTTGCTCCCGCGTCATTCTGCAGCCAAATGCGCTTTCGGGTGTGCGTTCGGTATGCGAGAGACAAGCTGCATTTTTTCTGGGGCATTGGCCTGCAGCCATGTCCGCTATCCGGATGCCGACGGGCCTTCCAGGAAACAAATCACAACCACGGCAAGCCAAGCACGGCGCAATCTGCAGGAAAATGCTGGGGCAGCGTTGTGACTCATTTTCGCGAAAACCAATCGACTCCAAGAAAAGTGTGTTTTTAGATATAATTCTCTCATCCCTCTTACAAATGTAGTTTGGATGATGGAATCGGGGGCTGCAGCCAAATGCTGGAGCAAAATCGCGATTGGTTCTTGAATACCTGTCGGATGCTGGGGAAAGACCCAACGCAACCCTGAAGCGGATTGCGCTGCAGACGCCAGCCGGAGCAAGATAACAATATATAGACTATCCAGAGAACCAACCGCAGTCTTGAGAAAAGGGTTTGGCTGTAGCCAACTGCCGGTTGCCTGGGAAAGCCAAGCGCAATCCCTAAAGAGGACTTGTCTGCGAAGAGTGTGATTGGCTGGCTGCAGCCGAATGGCCGAATTGCGATTGGCTGGCTGAAGCCGAGCGCCGGACCAAATTGTGACTGGTTGGCTGCAGCCGAACGCCGGACCCAGATTGTGATTGGTTGGCTGCAGCCGAATGCCGGACCCAGATTGTGATTGGTTGGCTGCAGCCGAATGCCGGACCCAGATTGTGATTGGTTGGCTGCAGCCGAATGCCGGGCTCGAATTGTGATTGGTTGGCTGCAGCCGAATGCCGGGCTCAAATTGTGATTGGTTGGCTGCAGCCGAATGCCGGGCTCAAATTGTGATTGGTTGGCTGCAGCCTAATGCCGGGCGCAAATTGCGATCGGTTGGCTGCAGCCGAATGCCGGGCTCAAATTGTGATTGGTTGGCTGCAGCCGAATGCCGGACCCGATTGGTTGGCTGCAGCCGAACACCGGGCTCAAATTGTGATTGGTTGGCTGCAGCCGAACGCCGGGCTCAAATTGTGATTGGTTGGCTGCAGCCGAATGCCGGGCTCAAATTGTGATTGGTTGGCTGCAGCCGAATGCCGGGCTCAAATTGTGATTGGGTTTTTGAAAACACGATCGCATTTTGAGGAGCGGGTTTGGCTGCAGCCGAATGCAGGAGAGAGTGCAGACAAGCATTGCGAGCGGTTTTGTGGAAAACCCGTCGTGTTCTCGAACTGAACCCCAGAGCAGAGTTATGATTGTCTTCCTGGAGAACCAAGCGCAATTCACAAGAAAAAGCGAGAACGGATCAGAGAGCGATTGGGCTTCTGGAAAGACAATCGCAAGATGAGGTGGCATGTGGGCCTGCCAAGTATGATTGGTTCCGTGATTTTGCGGTTGAAGAAGGTTGACGCTGAGCTTGGCTTGTGACATCTCACTGGCGCAGGTGTTTACTCCATCGCAGCAGTTTTTAATCAGGCCAGCCCGCCGTCCGCAAAAATTGGAGGGGAAACCATCTGACCGCCGAGTTGCAAACCGACGTTGCGGCGAAACAAAGCAGACGCATTTCACATGGGCACCCTGCTGCAGTCGAGTCGGGCTGGGCTTGCCTGTGACGGACTGGAAGTAGTGAGTGTAAAATGGCTAGCGCTGTGGCAGATTTGCTTTCGGAACAGCCTCGTGACTCGTGACTGACAAGCCACTTCATGTAATGCAAGAACTCGTAAAGTTGTTGGAAAACTGTGCGAAGCAATCTGCGCTCAGGCAAGTCAGGAGGAGCAGGCAAACCCTCTCTTCCACCCCCTCCTTGGCTCATTTCTTGTAGCAGGCCTTGCCCAGACATGATCTTTCCCAGCTTAGTCGTTTCGGCAGTTTGGCTCAAACCAGCGCCCAATCTTGGCGCTCTATGTTTCTGAGCTTGTCTGCGGCGCTGCGAAGCCGCAGGCCGTAGGAAGGCAGGGATCACGCCAATCCTTCAGATTCCGCTTGGCCAGCGCCACTTCAGCCTTGTCAGTTTGAGGCGACGCAAAAGAGAAAGAACTGCTGGCGGTGTTGGAAAACGCGTCATGAGCTGCAGGGCCTGGCAGGACACGCCAAGGACTGGTTCTTGCTGCCATGCGTGCGCGGAAAAGAGCTTCAGCGTTTGTGCTGGGGCTGCTGAACAAGGACACGCAAAACCGGTGTCCTCCTTCCCGGGAGCAATGTTGGCGCGAAGGTTGTTGACAAAGTTGCCCTGCGCATTGCCAGCTTTCGGCCAGCCAGCCCTCAAATACATAACTGGCCCAAAAGCTGTTGCAGGGCCAAAGGGGCCAGGGGCTCAACGTGTGTTGTCATGCAGGCGTTCGGCTTTCGAATGGGCAAGCCTTTGCCACAACGTGGCCCGCCCTTGCCTGCCCTGTTCACGACGCTAGCAAGGTGACACGGGCACACCCAGGCGCCAAAAGCGTTTAAGAACCAAACGGCCTTGTAGTTCAAGCAGTCAGGCAACGCCGGCTAACAAACAAAACCTCCAAACGTGTGCAACGCATGGTGCGAAGCACTCAGGTTGTAAGACAGCGAGCAACATACGACAGGGTTTGAAACCGTAGGAGACGAAGGTGCCGCGCCTGACCGGCGTTGAAATGGCCTGGTGACAAGGGAAGGACTGAGCATGTTGGTTTTGGCTGAGATGGCAACATGTTGCTTTAAGCCTGCAGTCACCTCAGAGACTGCCCAAAGTTTGCTCGATTCAAAAAACATTCTTGTGAGGGTTGTTCTTGCGCATCTGTGTGACATGTCCGTATACGAAGGCTGACAGGTGCTGCGCAGCTCTTACAACACAACGCAAGGTGACATCGCAGACAGGTTGCCAGAGCAGGTTTGCCAACGTGACATTGTAATCTAAGTAGGGCGCTGGCCTGACACTGGGCAGAGCCACGCCCTGCCTTGTGGAGCAACATGCAGTTTTGCAAGAGTTGCCACCAAACTCAAAGAGCCACTTAGATAGTGGCAAAGAGCCAGTTGCAGCCGGAATGGCATCATAGCAAAACTCATAAGATCTCAGGATGAACACATGGTTCACAACTCTGACTTGCACGGATCTTCAAAATTCTTCCAGAGTCATGACTGCACAGGTACCGTGGCCAAAAACGGTGTTTGTGGATGATGGCCATGGTGCTTCTACTACGAACCTGTATTTTTAGCTGTATAGAATCCCTCAGCAGTTGACTAATGCGCTGGAAAGTGGGTTCAATTGTTGAGCAATACTTTGCAATCCAAGTTTATTTCAGAGTAAACAGGTTGTATGGCGGCTGGTGATTGGCAAACCTCCAAGCTGCTCGTTTGCTCGTTAAATGGTTATCCCCTGCTCATTTGCAATCATCCTGGATTCTACTAACAAGGCCGACCAACCCAGTCAGAGGCAACTCGACAAGTGCAGCAACGACACAACAATGCAGGTCCCAAGTAGGTTGCCCGCAGAGTCACGTTGAAAGGTTTGGGCTGAGAGAGGTGCTCCGACGGTCAGTGGACAAGGGATTTGAGGCACCCAACTTCATCCGAAGGCGACTTCATTGCTTTGGGGATAGGGGTCCCTGGATGTCCCCTTCAAAGCTTGCATTTTTTTCCTGGTGATGTCCCAATTTACCGGCGGTTTCCATTAAAACTGCCATTTTTGGAGGCCCAAAAAGGGGAAATGGAGGAGACCCTGCAAAAGTGTCTGGAGAAAACTCACTGGCTGAGTGGATGGCCCAAACCGAAAAGTGACTAATTTTCATGAACTCAGGAGTAGGTCATGGCTTCCAAACGACCATGAGTAACTTTGCCGGTTTCCGGACAATCATCGTTTAGACGATGAGTGGTTCTCCCCAATGGTCATCCCAGCAAATGGGAAATGGAGGAAACCCTGCAAAAAAGTCCGGCAAACAAAAAGAAGATTTCTTTGGCAAGGCCAGGCAGCAGATACTCCACGCCGGGCTTCAAGCACCCAAACTCCGCCTGGAAACCCCGAAATCCGTCGGACGCTTGGGAGGCAAGCCACAAATCGGAAGGCCGGGTCGAGGAGGGTTGGTTTTACTGGGCGAATGGAGACAATCTGGGTGAATTATAATATTTCACCAGCCTGAAATAATAAGGTGGTTGGGGGGCTATTCCCCACATAAACTGCGGTGAGGTCGTGTGAGGCTGTTATACTTCACCCAGGACAATGACCCCATAGGTTTTATCCTCCTCGCTGAGATAAAGGGAAGAGCGCCATCTACTTCACCCTGGTCCACTTGCAATCTTCGGCAAAATTCGCCGTAAAACCGAAACAAGCAACTTGTTGACGCTCCAAAGCGGCATTGGCATGAATCCTATCTCCCTCCCCAAAAGGGTCAACAAACACACAATATAAAGTTGGCTGAATGCCAGGAAGCCGAAAGGAATGCACAAGCATTCAGGAAAAAGTTAATTGCGCAGGGGTACATCTTACTTGCCCTGACTACTCTCCTTTTCCATATCCCTATGGTCCCTATGGGGGTTGGTTGCCAATTTCTGCCTGGGGCACGTCAAGGGCTTTGCTCCTAGAGTGCTTCGGCCTGGTTCGGCCGGCTGCCCAGCGATCCAAAAGCTATTCGAGGAGCCCTTGGCGGGGTTTAGGTTCAGAGGAAAGCTCAACTAGGTCCTTCCAGTAGTTTGAGGTTAGAATAAGGGTGCCCAATTTGTTTTCTTCTGTTTTTTTCTTTCCAGTAGTCTATTTTAGTAGGGGAACCTTCCCCCAAAAAGGGCAGAAGGGCACTGGGGGACCTAGCCAAGCAAAGGAGGAGGGGGGAAAATGGTGCAGTGAACAACTGCGATTTCCTTCCAACCAAACATGGAGCATGGAGCGCAGCGCCGTGACCGCTATCATCCATCTGCGCTAGTTCTATCTAGATTCACCTGCCAGCACTGATCCCAAGACCGAGCTCGTCCCTAGCTGAGCTCGCTACGGGTTGGGTCAAACGTCCAGCTTTCCCCACACAAAACAACATGAACCAAGTTCCCACTCTCGGAAGATTGTGTACAGAGCGAGTGATTTGCGCGTAAAACGAAGAGGGCCACCTATCAAACACATCTAATGCAATTGCAAGGGCTTACATGTAGGCCCCGATTTCCAGACCAACCCTGTTGAAAGGAGTGCCTTTATTGTCCCAAGCTAACCGGGTTTCCAAACACAAACCGAACACCACAAGTCCAAAAGTTGGGCCCAAGCTACAGAGTCCTTGCATAGTTACCCACATCCTTCCGAGGGGTAAAATGTTGAACATGACCTTGACTTCCCAACCGGAAAGTTGGCACCAGCCGAATGCGCACATCAGCCTCAGCTTCTTTCAAATGACAGCATGAAACTGCGACGGCTGACGCTTCCAAAAGAAAGGTTGAAGAAACGTGGGCCCCTTTCCTCAGATGCCCAGTGGCCATAGGAAAAACAGGGCATCCTTTTTTGTTGGTTGAGTTTGAAGGGGAACCCTTCCCCCAAAAAAGGAAAAAAGGGCACCACTGGGCAACAGAGCTTCTGCTCCTTACAAAAGCCAGCGGACATCCAGTTAGTGAACCTGTTTGAAGGGTGGCCGGCCTCCCAGGATACGAAGGCCGAGCCCGTCTTCGTGGAGCCGGTCGCCAGGGTCGGCTGCTGCAACACCAGGAACCTGAGCTCGTGGAATCTTTTGCCCCAGAAAGCTATGGCTAGGTCCTCCAGTAGTTTGAGCTGAATGAATGCGGGTACCCGATGTTTTTTGTTTGTTTTTTGTCTATTTTAGGGGAACCCTCCCCCGAAAAAGGGGTTGAAAAGGGCACCCAGCTGGGGGACCTAGATGGGGTCTCTGAACAGGTAGGCCCTGGTGCAGTTTCAAAAGGCTCCCGGGGCTTTCAGGGAGGATAACACCGGTCTTGACCGCTTCGGAAGCCCAGTTCAATGACACTGGCTTCAAAAGGGGTACCACTGGAGACCTTTTCAGGGTTGACCGTTTTCAGTGGAGAAGCCAAACCAAAAAAGAAAAACCATTGGTGCCACTTTCCAGCGGGAAGTCTTTGCAAAGCCGTACTGAACTTCTTTTCAACATAGTGTAGGCCCCCCCACTTTGATCTTTGGCCAGTACAAATCAAAGCCCCAACCAGGAGTCCTGATATGCTGAAACTTACTGGTGCGATAAGTGGGGAATGTGAAATGGAACGAACCCAGGCTTTGGTCCCCGAATGAAGGACACCACCAGTTGGATGGTTTATCTCGGGGTCATTCCAATTCCCTGCCTATCCAACCAGCAAGGAACGCCTCCTTTGGGGAAAATGCAAGGAGACCTCTCACCCGCGGCTGCGCCATGACTCACTGCAACCCATCGGATCTCAGCCAGGGAAGTGGGAGACCAGAATGTAACCAGCCAATTGTTCTTTGGCTGAATGGTGGGTTTCTTTGTGTAGTACAAAGCCCGAAATCATTGGAAGATGCTCCTTTGTGTAATACAAGAGCCTACCCTCCCTCCCACTAACATAGCACCTGCTGAGGGGGGCCTGGAAGATCGATGTCCTCTTTTAGGGACCATTTCGGAGGTGCCATGTTCGTGGGAGAGAGGGTACATCTTTAAAATAGGGTTATAGGATACTCCAAGCCACACTTTGGCATGAGTATAGCCGTAAAAAGCTAATTCTCAGTGCCCCTGATCTGGCCCACCAAAGTAACCCAAAAAGGACACCTATGCTCAGGGTGTGAAAAGCCTTTTCATGGCACCTGGCAAAAAACAAAACAACAACAAAAAAACGACGAGCGAGGCGCTGGCAGTTTTGCCACGCCGAGAAGATGGAGGCCTCACAAATCTGCGCCTCCCAGTCAACCACCGGTCCTGCCGCATTAGGACCGGTTGGGTGCCTCGGTCCCCCGATTTTCGCATGTGGATTGGGCTGAACAAGCGTCAGGTTGATTCTGGCCGGATGGTTGAAAAGGAACACCGCCATTTTGGTGTTTTTGTTTGCCACTTCCTCCTTCCCCAACCGATTCCACGGAAGCTCCCGGGACCCCAGGACTTTGGAAGACTTGGTTGAGGCGTTGTAGGTGAGCCTGAGGGGGTGTAAGTGGTTCAGCCCCAAGTATCACGTCCAGGAAGTCAGGGAGGGAGGCAAAAAGTCATGGTTTGGGAGGGAGTTCCAACCAGCTTTCCGGGAACCATAAAAAATGCACATGTGCCTTAGTATGGTGGATGACGAAACCAAATGGCGGATTTGCTCCATCACTTTCACCCACCTTCCATGTTCTTGAGTCCCCTGGGAAAATATGTCCAGCAGTGATGGATACCCATTAAAACCCAAAAGGGGAACAAAAACATATCAAATGGAAGCCACAGTAAGGAAGAAATGGTCTAAAATTTTAAAAGGCAAGCCCGGTAGTGGGACCCCTCGGCTTCCGTGGTGGACCTCCAAGTTCTTTGAGCCCCGTTTGACATGTCTTTCACCCCCCCATGCCTCTGAAAGGAAACATCGATTCTGGGCTATTTTGTGGGCCTGCTATACTGTGGTCTCTTTGAAAGAACGCCCCAAGGGCACCCCAAAAAAGGAGTCTCGGAACCGCATCGGTTCCTAGGTCCCCTTAAGGTGACCGAGCTGATCGTTTTAGCGTCAGGTTGCCCCAGGTTGCCGCACGGGTCTTGATACGTCAAAGCTTATGGCTTCTGGAAACGGGCATACACACACATGCGCGCACACACATGGCCATGGGTCAAAACCCAAATCGTGCCCCCCACTAAAAAAGACTAAAATGGGTGGTGCACCCATCCCAAAATGGTACCGTTGGTTTTGATCCACAGCCACATGACTGCGTCTAAGCATACCACAACTCCCCCGCCATCTCTCACGAATGTGCCTCTGGTTGACATTGGATGTTCCCCTTTCATCCCTTTCAATGTTTCAACCCCCTCACCCTTTCCCGGGCTTTGAATGCTTGGAGCCCCCAGCTGCCCTTGAAAGATTGGAAGCTGGCAATTGGTGATCCGAACCAGTAGAACCACAACCAAACCTGTATCCCATCCCCAGAACTGCCAGAAAACCAATCCATGACCCCAAGTTTCCAACCAACCAACCAACCAAACCAAACCAAGCCAAGCCAAACCAAACCAAACCAAACCAAACCAACCCAACGAACCAACCCAGCCATGACTTCACCACGTCCCAAATCATTCACCCCTTCTCCCCGGATCCCTCAGATCATTTACAAGGCGGCCAGTCCTCCCAAGGGATCCGCCTGGTCCCAGAAGACCCTGATCTCATGGGCTGCCTGGCGTGCTCGAATTCACTACGGCTAGCTGGGGGCCTTTTGAGTCCTAATCAAAACCCGGTATTAAAATGGTTGTGTTCCGCAGAGCCATGTCAAGAACTGAAAAAGTCAGATATCCGCGCCCATTTTTTTGGCAAGGGGATTGTGACGAGCTGGTGGGCAGGGGTCAAACGGGGGGAGGATGGGCGGGGCGGGTGCTGCCAGGGACAACCCCAAAGTCTAGGCAAGAGCCAAGCGCCAACACAAGGAGGCAAGCCGGGGGATCCATTGACCCCTCAAACTGTGTGTTCTTCTTATGAGCGTAATTGTTTCTTCAAGCGGTTGTCGCTATTTTGGGTTGAAGCACAAG